ATTTTCTTCCTTATTCAAATTTAAGACTTTAAGACTAGCAGAATGAAAAAAGCATCTGAGGCCTCCTATATTTTAGCGGCAATGAAAGAACTGATATTACATGAAAAACCTACTAGAGCAAGAAATAGAATGTATGTGTCTATAAAAACTCTGCTTTGATAAATATCTCAGAATGATTTCCAACTTCACCTTTTTCCCCCATGAAATGACAGTGTTTTGTAGAAAACTAAAATCAAAGATATGTGAGTGTTTTGGTTTACATTTTAGTCCTCCACCTGTTTAATCCAATAGAAACTGTTTTTTAGCTTTATCTTTTTATTACAAACATCTTTCAGAGATGCCAGTAATTTCTATCAACCATTTACCTATAAATGTGTGTGTTCTAACAGTTCATCTTTTTTTCCAGAGTTCTTATATAATTTCCCTAGGTGGGTCTAGGTTTTTCTGCCATGGTAAGAAGGAAAATTTAAGCTTACAGAAAAGAAAGCTTTATATTTCAATAGAAACTCGAAATCACAAAGGCCACAGGCATTGTAGTTACAATCTGGACTCCCTGGGACCAGATATCCTCTATTGGGGCCTTCTATGGAGGGCAAGAAACCTTTTATAGGCAAAGACAGCCCCCCAATCAAACTCTCTCCCACTGCCATTCCCAGTGGCCTGGCAGCTCTGCCCAGTGAGCAAGCTGGAACAATGCAGCTCTTTGTTACCGTAGGATGATTTGCAGCACATGCAGACTACCAGCGCTGCCCTGGCCGCCCCCTCCCTTCCTCGCCTTTTCAGAAACATTTCAGATCAAGAGAGAAACATAGCCTCAGACTCTGTTTGCAATGTTCCTTCCTCAGTTATACAATTTGAAGGAAATCAAACTTTCTCCACAACTCAGAATTCTGAAGCATGTCTAACTTCTTGAGCAACTCCAAATCAAAGTACATGTAATCTACCAACACTTGTCAACAGGCTTTTATTTAGAACTAATGAACTTGCAGGTGGAATCAGAAAGATCACAAATAGAGGGATGAGGATAAATGGGAAAATCCTTGATTAGGCCAGCTGAAAGACAGCTTGACACCTTTAGAAAAATGAAAAACAATTTTTTTTTTTAAGAATACGAGCAATCCATGCAAAATACCTTGTTGTGTGGTTATCAAGGCCCCTCGGGCAGAATGTAGTTATATCCACAATTAGTAACAGGGACACTGCTTTTGGAGGCAAATCTGGAATGGTGACAGATTATAGTATTGGATATTTCCAGCTTCGGCAGGTCTTATCTTCTTAGCAGAAGCTCAGAAGCCAATGTCTGGATGTAGCCGGTCAGTTGCAAATAATAGCTCAGGAATGTTAAGCGGCTTCAGGAGTCGCGTGGACAGCACGATTACCTAACAACAGGAGGGGAAGCACACCGCAGACAGTTAGGGAAGCCAGTCCCAGGTTACTAGAAGATGAGAAATGAAATGCAACAAATTTCTTTGGGGAGGGCATGGAGTGGAGGTAAAGAAAAAGGCAGAAGGCAGCAGGTTGAATGTCCTGGGTGGAAGGACGGGTGCACAGTCTGGAAAGGACAGCCTGCAGGACAGCTGGGCTGTGTCCACTGAACCTGTAATCAGCGAGGCACTCAGAACGGCTCAGTCTAACACCGGGTGCCTGTGAGAGGCTCAGCCCAACCACCACTTTCCTGCCGAATAGGACTGGATCATCCCATCACTTTGTGATGCAGTCATTTGGCCTCAATAACGAGGCTTCTCTCCCTTTTGAGAAGCCTTTGCTCCTCCAGAGAGCATGAGGAGGCACACCCCAGAGGTGGCCATTGTTGTTGACCATGATGAGTGCGTTAGTTTCCTGGTACCACATACTGGGTGGCTTAAACGGCAGAAATGCATCGTCTCATGGTCTGGAGGCTAGAATCTAGAGATCAAGGTGTTGGCAGGGTTGGTTCCTTCTAAGAGCTGTGAGGGAGGATCTGCTCCATGCCCTTCTCCTGGCTTCCCTGTGTCTTCCCATTGTCCTCCCTCTACGTGTGTCTGTTGCTGTGTCTAAATTTCCCCTTCTTATATGGACACAGTCATATTAAATTAGAGCCTGTACAAATGACCTCTTCCTAACTTGATCGTTTGCAAAGACCCGATTTCTAAATAAGGCCATATCCACAGGTACTGGTGTTTGTGTGTCGGCGGGGGGGGGAGGGGCATTAGGACTTCAACACCTTTGAGGGGACACAATTCAACCATAAAAATCATGATGATGGTGACAGCAGCTAAAACTTATTAGTTCTTATGATGTGCCAAGTTCTGAAGAATATCTCACTTAATATCCATTGAATTCTTGTAACAACTTTATGAAATGGGTAACTTTATTATTCCCATTTTTCAGATGAAGAAAATAAAGCACAGAAAGGTTAAGTAAAGTGTCCAAGGACACACAG